TGTAAAGCCACAGAAAGATGTCACACAAAAGCTATGTCAGGCTGGGAAACGTGGTGGTGAGGGCAAAGCTGTAGTGTATCAAGAGCATTCAGGAACACAGAAGTGTCATGAAAACCTGCAAATGATAAACTAACTTCCTTCCAACTAGGTATCCACTGTAATGGGCAGCAAAACAGTGCAGGTACATACCTAAAACCCAATGCACTAGAAATAACATATGCTCTGGATTTTTTTAAATGGGACTTGAAAAAATATTCTTCAACATTACCCTTCTTGCATGACCCTGCTGAATTGGTTGTTTGTGCTGGTTATGTGGCATCTGTTGCTCAGACATTAATTGTTCCCATCCATCACTGGTTTCAAACTACTCTCTTTTTTTTGCCATATACAGCGAACAGGAGCAATGAAAGAGGGTTCTAGTCCTTAAGCAGCAGTATTGGTAGGCAAAGTGTCTTTTCTAAGATACTCAAAGTTCTAAAAAATGGTCTGATTTTCAGGCTTTTTGAAGCTTCTAATATCTAATATTCTATCAATAAATCATGACTACTTGAAAAAAATCCTTTGATCTCACTGGGAGTTTCTTAGAGTTTTCAGTACTGGTTTGGAGTCACTAGAACATCATGAGAAAAAGTCCAGATTTTAAAGGTGTTATCCAGTAAAGCAATAAGTAAATATTTTCTCTGTCCCATTCATGTGTGGCAATATTGCCTGGGAAGGCAGAGGTAGAGAATAACAAACTTTATCTAAGCAGTTCTTTTTCTGGGAATTTAAAAATTTTCAGTCTTTACAGAGCAGGCAACTGTGATATTAACAGTAGCAGGAGTTCTAGGGCTCTTGCAATGAAATACATGTGACATTTCCTAGGAATTGTTGTCTTTCACTGTGTATGGTCCTTTGGCTGAATACATGTTTGGCAATACATGAAAAGTTTACCCTGTGATCCTAACAATCATTCCTTTGAGGGATTACGGATGCTAGGTTCTTCCAGCTTCTCAGGGCTTTAAATTACTAGAGAATTCAGAACCTCTGAAACTGATGCTGAGGATCTGATATTGCGATCATGCGTCAGTGGAGGAGTTGCAAAGGGAAGAAAGACTCGCTGCAGGGAGTGTTGTCATGCTGCAGCACAGTTATTCTAGCAGAAGATCAGATGTGGCATTAACAGCTTTGCTCTGACTCTTTGCTATGGAAAGTTCTATATTTTGTTCTTGTTTTAAGAGTTTAAAAGTGTGGTATAGAGTGCAATTATAAGGATGTCTCTTTTGTCAGAAAAGCTCTCACACAGCTTTGATCAGCAATTAATGTGAATACAAACATGCACTGCACTGTTTACTATCGTATCCTGCATGCCTTGGTAGGAGACAGCCTTAATTCTCAGTCTCTGGGCTGTATTCACCTGGATAATTCACTGAGCTCTGGTTGACAGTCTTTCCGTGAATGTGAGCAAGCTGGGAGCTGGGTGTCATGTTTTGATAGCAGCAGGAGCCAGTCCCTGGCTCCCTGTCATAAGGCAGGTGCATGTTCAGCTTATGATGGAGAAGAGGCAGAGAAGCCCATGGGAAAGATGGTAGCCAAGACTGAGCTGACAGAATAATTCCTTCATCCCAGGCATACTCCATGCCCAGGAAGGGATGCAGCCTGGCTGAATTAATTGCGCAGCTGGTGGGAAGCACACGCAGGCATTGAGGATGGAGGTGATAACAGGGACTGCATGGTATGACCCACCCTGAGACTGGAAGCAGCAGTGTGGCTCTTCTCACCGAAAGCCTGATGCTCTTTCTTTGTGTTAGGGATTTCATGCTAACACAAACTACAAACGAAATCAAAAACTTGCTTTCTTTGCTAGCATCTGATTTGCTTTTTTTCTCCATTCTCAGTAGTCAGCTTCATGGTAGCAATAGCTAAAACAACCTATTCCTGGAAAAAGGGGAAATGAGAAAATTACAGGGCAGATGCAGAAGATCATATGAAAGGAAAACACCAGATTTTTTTCTCTCAAGTAATGCATGTATATTTAGATGCACTTACAGTGAACATGTAATATACCACCCTCAACTCAAGTCAGAAATAATAAATAGTGTTAGAGACTTTCTTCTGCAATGTTTGCCATTTTGGGGGCAGTAGCTGCTCCTGAACTTTGCATGATTTGCTCACCGTTTCTTCACTATAAAACTATTACCATTAATAACTATCCTAGTGATTTCAACTGGAAGATAATTTAGACTGAACATTGCCTTGGTTTAACAACTGAATATACATAAATGCAGTCACTTGGTTTTATTTACTCTCTATGGCTAGCCGAATAGCTCTGTGCACCAAGGCAAGTAATGGGCCTGATTTCTTCATCTCTCTCTGCAACCTGTTCACATCATTTCACTGCTGCAAAGTACTCACAGATTTCAGTACAAGGCTGACTGGAGACAATCCACATCATGTAACTTACCAGTCTCCAGAGGGCTGGCGGGGGTGGCTGGCTCCCCAGCCCACTGGTGTCCACGGTGGCGGAGCCATGGGAGGAGCCGTGCGGTCGGGCCCCGCCTGCCTCCATGCTGACAGAGGGGGAGAGGCAGAATCCCACCTCCCGTGCCTCCTTACCTAAGGACTTGCACCAAATACAGCTCAGCTGAATTTAAGAGCTAGCCTCAATATGTAACTCCAGATCTCACAAAAACACTCGTACTAAGAATAATTTTCCCATCATATGTGCGGTTTTCACAGAGTGTTAATAGATCCTCCTGCTTCATGGACCTACATAACCAGCTCTTTTCCAGACAAACTTAGAAGTGCCATTCTCACTCTCTCTAGCAGAAAGGACACAAAGTAGTGCACTATCAAGGCCAGTCACCACACACAGGAACACCTGGTATTACAAAAATCAAGCTGGTTACAGAAGATCACACCAACCCAGAAACTCTGTACGGAAATATCAAAAGAGCTTTTCAAACAGAACCTGAAGACAACTTTGCAAGGTTAATACAGAGCCCTTCAGGCTAGCAGGCATCTTGTTTTCATTATTCTCTGCCCAGGAAGCATTTATCACTATGAATTCATTGAAAATTTTGAAGTACAGTAAAATGAGGAGAGCAGACTTGCAGGAAAGCCTCTCCCTTTGCTACAATCTGTTCAGAAGAGAAAGGAAAGGATATTTGTGTGTGTGTGTGTGTAGGAGAGAGAGAGAGGTTTGAGGCGGGGGAGTATACCCAGAGGAAATACAAATACCATTTCACAGTGGAAGTGTGAGTGCGAGAACACAGTATCTGTATTTTGTCTAATATTTTGCAGGTTCTGTCACTGGATAAAGAAAAATGAATCCTGTTAATTTAAAAGAGATACAATGACTTGCAAAAATTGTAAACAAGCTTCTGTGAAATTTTGGAGAAAATTATTTGAAAATTGATTGTATTTTTAACATTTAAGACAAAAGAATAGCAGTGCTCTTACATTATCCTAACTGGAGAAAAAGCACTTTTTGTTACTTTTGGAACTATAACAGCATTATTCTATTATGATAATATTTTTATTTGGCTTTCAATACCTCATGATTCTAAAATTTTGGAAAACACATGTTAATCTCAGCAGAAGTAGAAATAATTCCGTTTGCAAACAACATCTGAGTGTGGGGCTTGGTTGGCAGCAGATACTGTCTCCAGTGCCGTGCCCGATGCTCTACCAGAGCACAGGTTCCATAGAATATGAAAACCAGAGAGCTGCGATTCTGACATGTGCCCCAGAACTGATGTGATGAAACACAAAAGATCTGTTTATGGTTGCCATTCTGCAATGAAGTTATTTCAGCCATGTCTTAGCCATGCCACGAGTTAGAAATGTTCCCAACTTGACTCTGCAACCCTGCTTACAGTGAATATCATTTATCCCGAAGACATTCCTGTGCCCCAGTTTGCTTAATGGCAGAATGAGGTCCATGCCATCTCCGAGTAAGACAGAACTTCAAAATAGATGTTGAAAGAAGTATAACAGATGTTTAATGGAGAAACAGACAGATTTCTGCAGTAAAATGCATGCCATCAAAAGTCAATAAAACTTACAAAAAGGCAAACTGTATTTAACTAAGAGGATGCAAATATCCAGGATTTAAATACCAATCCACAGTTTGTGACTTTAACCCAAGAGACTAGCAATAGTGCCATTAGCAATTCCATTTAATCTACAGAAAATGGCATTTCATTGAAGATTTCATATCCATATTTTTGTACTACACACCTTTCAGGGCAGTCCTGACGACAAGCTACATGTTGGGACTGCATCATGTAACATGAGATCCCCAATGCTAATCCAGCAGAGGAGTTTTACTCCTCAGCAGCCCTACCTCTTCTGGTAAATCTCACCTGCCTCTAGAATGGTTTCCTTGCATTAATTCATCTTAGGAATTGAAATGAAAGTAGTAGGAGGGGAAGAAAAAAAAAAAATCAATGAGAGGCTTAGTCAGTATGAGCAACCTAATGCATTAGATTGTTTCGCTCAATTACCTTTCTTTTCCATAGCTTAATTTAGATAACCGTCAGGTAAAAGAGAAAAAAAAAAAAGCTATATACAGTTAATGCAACAGAAGGTATCAACTGATTTAAGCAGCTGGTCAAAGCAGTTTGCAATGCATCTATCCCTTGGTTAAATTATTCTCCTAGATCTGCATAATACATGCATGACTGATATTTTTATCTAGAGCATTAAGCCTAATGGCTGGTTAGATGAAATACAAAACTGTTCCGAACAAATTCATGAAGTTCAGAGAGCTGGTGTAGGTCCCAGAAATACCCATCTGTCAATAAATTTTAGTGGTCCCTGCAGCCTCATACTGAAAAACCTAAAGAGTCTGCATTTATAAAGGGCTGGGTACATATTGGCAGTTGCTTAGGTTTAATTATGTATTGATACAATATTCTGAAAATTAGGAGAAAATAGTTTTCAGAATATTAGATGTAATAGCTCAGCCAACTACAGCAAACAACTAACTATACTTTTTGTGTTTTCTTTCTCTACAGGTATACCCAGTATTTCCAGTATTGGTAGTAAGTAATAAAACCAGTATTGTTTTGCATTGTCATTCAGCTTCTTGGATCTAATTTCCCAATATCCCTTTCTGTTGTAGATAATGTTTCTCCAAAAATGTGCTCTGTAGTACAAGGGCTATATATTGGCCTTCCTCTGTTGCATTAACATGTAACCAAATTACATGGTCAGAGAGAACGCCACTCCAGACAACACATCTGCCTTCAACTGCAGATTTGATGATCAGCAAATGAAGACTGAGTGCTATAAAACTATTATACAGAGAATTAAGACACTGTTCCACAGACAATATTTGTTGAGCATCTTTTAAAGAAAAAACAAGTATTTGCTAATAACAGAGAAGTATAGGACCATTAATTTTCATGCGGGTATATGTGTGTGTAAATTCAAAGAGCAAACAGAAGAGTTCATAAATGAAAGAGTTTTCATTTTTATGAAGCAGCTTAGCAAATGCAGTGTATCTGCTGGAATCTTTGCATTAACTCCAGCCGCCTTTGAACTGCACTTTACTCCACAAAATAAAACAGAATCGCATTCCTTCAAAAAACCTGCTTTCCTATATGCAATTAAAGCACCAAAATATTAAACTATAATAAAACCATAACACCACTGTGTGAAGAACTACTGTATCAATAAAATAGATGATTAATTAAATAAAACACTTGAAAGGACTAAGTGCACAGTAGCTCAGCTGTGAGTCTCAACTGAGTTCTATAGCTGAGAAGTGCACACAGTCATAGCACATTAGCTGATTACAAATGAAGAAATGGGATCTTGCTGAAGCTGACTGAGAGAATTTTCACCACCACCTCAGCTTTGTAGAGGCTTTCAACACAACTTTTGTGATGCAGGACTATCAGAATGATAAAATACCACAGTACTAAAATGCAGTTTCCCTTACCTGATACCCAGCTGAAAAGCTTCTGATAATTTGAGTAAAACTGTCTTGCTTCTTATGATGCAGCATCAGATCTGTCAATTTATAAATCAGCTCAGTTTACTTTATGAATAGTGCTGATTTGTTAAGCTCTAGACAGCAAGTTAAATGCCATCAAAAGTAGACTCCTTGCAAATGAGAGCAGCGTTAACAGCTGGATGCCATGGCATCTGTTTTGCAGCTTTAATAGTGAAACAGCATCAATGGCAATAACGTGCAAATGAAAGCCTTCAATCTTAATAATGTAATTTTCCTAATGTAATACCTTCTTTGGCATTTGCATGACTGCAAATACATAGTGCTGTGCCATTTTCAAAACTTTGTGTTTAGACATATATTTTATAACCAAAAAAAAAAATAAACTCAATGAAAGAGATGTTTATGTCACTGTTCTCAGGAATATTCCTGCCATTAGTAACAGAAATGGGATGAATGGGAAAATAGCTCTTTGAAGTTTGGTTGTGCTGTAGTTTTAGTACTGTGTTGCATGGACTATACGGTTGTGTTTTCACTTTACACTCCATACAGCCTTTGTCACCACATCTACCATTTCTGAGCATCAGCAGATGTTGGCCTTTGAAAACTTAATAGGGAAACTCAAATACCTTTTAAATAATGGTGACCTGAAAGGATGCATTGTTGACCCCTGTATTTTACACTGGGGTGATTCATACAGTTTATCTATTACAAATGGAGAAAATTCTGTTTAACATTCCATAGGAAATACAAGAGTTTCTGCGAGTCTATGCTTTATCTTTAATCTGCTGTAAATGTCTTGGAATAATATGTGATAGAACTCAACAAATTTCTTTGCCTACCTGGAAAGGATGAAGCATGAGAATCTCTTCATGAGCACAAGTAAATACTGATACTCTCTTGGATTTTTCATGTGTTTTTTCTTAAATAGCTCAGGGGGAAAACAGCTCTACTTGCACAATGTTCTGAACATCTTTCCTATAAGATAGAAATAGCAGAATTATCATTAAGCAAAGACAGAACCCATAAATTTATCTTGGTCTCTAAGAGAATTTAACAGAAGTACAATTAACACATAAAACCAAACAAGATTAATTAGTTGTGGCTGCTTTAATGGATTCTGCATGATTTCTTCTTTTGTCTATGCTAATACAATGTTTGTGTTCATATCAGCAGAGTTTCTCCCCATCTGGGGATAGGAAGTTACTCTCAGGAGATACAGTTTGGGTTTTATTTTGCCTGGCAGCAAACACTAAGGGGGCGGAAAGGGTGGGGGGAGGGTTAGTGGCTTTTGTGCTCCAAGCTTTTCCTAGTATATAAGGAGGACGGGATTGTGGCGGGGGTTATGAAGACTAAACTGCCAGCATACAAAGAAGATGCCACTGCAAGTGATCTTCATTTGACACTTTAAAGACTGCAATGAAAGCAAGCAAAGAAAAAAAAAGATATTTACCTGTGTACACATATATGTATCATTCTCTATTCCTTTTTTACCTCAAAGGATCTTGTATTAAAGCAGCTCATCATTAAAGATTGAACACAAAGAAAGTGGTCATTAAGTAAACATCCTTTCTGATCATCTAGAAGAAAAGACAAAAAAAATCGGAGCTTTCCCATTAAGGTCATTTGTACCTGCTGTTGTCTATCAGTTGAATAATAGGTTCTTTGAACATTTCCAGCATTCTTGATTACAATGCTGGCCTTTTCAGCCATGTCTGGAAAAATACTGGTGAAAGTGTTAGCAATTAATGAGTCCCAAAACCATTTCATAATTTTAAACAATGCTTACATAGAACAGGTAAATATTCTGAAAACTACATTATTTTACTTGCTAAAATAATGATTGTACAACTTTACATAGACCAATGCATCAGAATGTTCATTATTGTGACCAAAGTTACTAATCTGTACATGTATGCCTTCAAAAAAGTTGAATCTTCTAAACTAGAGCTTCTTAATCTTTTTTCCTGTAAAGCATAACTCCACTAATTATGCTAAACAGTTTGTTATAAAGGGTATAATTAGATACAGGATAGGATAGACATGATGTGCAAATAGCTCTGTGTGGGTGATTATCACCTTAAAGCCTGCTGGTGGCAGATGAGTCAGAGTTTAGAGACAGACGTGCACTCAAGTGCAAGATGCAATCACGATAATCAAATGGTATTTTCTGCTTTGTTCTCTGTTTTTATTCTTCTTTGTAGCCAATTTCAAATGAAGAGGGTTGTTTGGTTTTGTTTTTTTTTTAATGGTAACGAATGCAAGACACAAGAGAAAAAAAAAAAAAAATGGGCACTTTCTTATTTTATTGGTTTTTTAACCTTAAAAGACCTAGTAGGAATTTTTCTGTCACCAAAATAGTGTCAGGATGAGTGTAGCTTTATTTGTTTTATATATTTGTTATGAAATTTTAATGTGGTAAATATATGTCTTAAAAGGTTGTGAGTGCAAATACTGGCAGATTTTTTTTTTTCATTTTTAATACAACACAAAGTATTTTGAACCTGATTTTGCCCCCTTGCAGTAACTGAGAAGTTCTCTCATTAAATTTACAGTCATGGGATCAAAGCCATTACAATGCCAAGCTCTGGACTAGAATATATACACAACACCCACATCTGTCAGTAGGATATAAACATTCATAACTAGGTTGTACATTACTTCTCTATTATTATTTGAGATCAGGTTTTACAGAGAGAGTTGCACTGTTGAGAGACCATTAAGATGTTTATCTCCTTAGAACATTTAAATATTGTCTTCAGACTATATATATTTTGGACATTCTAGACAAGTGTTCTCATTTCAATTCAATTTTTTGTAAATCTATCTTTTTAATTAATACTATTAATAAGGCTCCTAGTCTAAAGCAATCACCTTATCTAACTAACTGATTATATTATGAAGCCTGTAACAGTATTTATTTTCCCTCCTTTACTCTTCACTTCAGCAGTTAGATTTTCCATTATATTAAAACATTACTGGACTGAAAGAAAATACTGATAGCCTATGTGGTATAATACACTCATTTGAACACTGGATCTGACAGAAAATTAACATTCCAAATAAAAGACATTACAAATAGTTTTATTTGCCTCTTAGGATTCATAACAAAGGTAGTTTTCTTCTATATAACTAGGATTTAACCCTTGAAGTTAAGTAAGCAGAGTGCCTGCACTGACACTGAGTAGAAACTGTCTCCTTGTGGGGTGATTTCTAGTGCAAGGTCAGAAACTACCAATGTTGCTCCAGGGAGCACTGATGGGTTGTTGGAGTGGGCTTTGGGGGAGCCTTTGTTTCAGATTTTGTTTTGCCAGATCCACCAATTTTAACAGATAAGAAGAGCCATACTCACCAGTCTAGTAGACATGGCCACTGACAGTTTAGTGTTGTTTCTCATTCATTCCAGTTTACCTTCATCATCTTCAGTTAGTTAAGAACAGTATATCAAAGAGTCTTTCCAGTGCTTTTTTTATTTGCTGTAATATACAAGGAATTACTTTGTTCACAGTTATCTTTGTTTTAACCATTAATAAACAATCTTAAGTGATAGGACAGGATAGAAAATAAGATACCAACATTTCAATATGTACCATGGTACCCATAGAGAACACATTGCACTTGCAATATGCAAGTTTAGCTATAGTTACTCAAGGAAGTTTATAGAGAGCAGATATGATCCACAAAGATATTTTAAAATATAATTATCTATGAAGCTTGGGGAGAAATTGCTGGGAAAAAACACACTTCTATATTTTCCCCTTTCCTCTTTCTTTCTGTCCCTCAGACATGTAATCAGTTTATTTCATAGAGTGTAAGGGAAGAATGAGGTTTGCAAATCAGCATTCTGATTTTTTAAAGATCTTGATTTACTGTTCTTCATCAGTTGTGAATTACTGTACAATAATCCTAGTCAACCAGCCAATTTCAGCATCTTTGTAGGAAAAAGCAGAATCAATCAAAATAAAAAGGAACAACCCCTGCAAACTATCAACAGAATATTTTACATCTTTTGTCATGAGAAAGTACCTAAATATTTCCTTCCAAAAATACTTGAATTCCTTGTGCACTTTTAGAAATATTTTTAGT